CCTGAATATTATCATGGCGTCGTTTTTGAACTAAAATCCGTCTAGTATTTCTCTGCGAAAATCATAAGTAAATGCTGGCATGAGAGTCATCGCTAGGAATCAGTTCGAAGGAGTCGAAAGAGAGGGTGGAAATGGGGTTGTCGGCGAGGTGGCGCCCTCCCTTCGACGCCTTCGATCCCAGCCTTTCCTTCCTTGTTGAATTGGCGATGTCTCTTTATCTAGCACGCGACTTCTTCGTGCCTCGGAGACATTATCACGGTGCTCGTGGATTCCAATGGGCTACTTTGCCCCTTCTATTTTCGTGTTCCGGGATACGGCGCGAATTTTTGTGAAGAAATTAGTATATTTATTATACATTCATGTTGCTACTTATGTGATTAGATTTTTTTGTATTAAAAAATGTTATGGATTAAAATTTAATTGACGTAACTGACATAATTGACATTCGGGCATTCTAAATTTTATAGCTTACAATTTTAACAAAATAGAAATTTGTACAAAATATATTGACACTTCTGTAACTAAAGTCTATAACTTTGGGAAAGTTTTTTTTAATATAATACGCAAATTACATATATATATATATACTTTAAATAATTTGTAACAGCTCTTTAAAAATTAATATACATATAAAAGGCAATAAGAGCTTTTATATGTATATTAATATATTTTTTATATAAAATAAATATAAAATATGCAACTATGCTGCTCAGAGCTAATTAAGTTCTGTTATTAATATTTATTTGTGGAAAAAAAATATTAGACAAAAAAGTTCGAACTTTTTTGTCTAATATTTTCGTTAAAAATTTTTTTTCCACAAATAAATATTAATAACAGAACTTAATTAGCTCTTATTGCCTTTTATATGTATATTAATATATTTTTTATATAAAATAAATATAAAATATGTAACTATGCCACTCGTAATATACCTTTCTATTTTGTCATGAATATTAAGATTTCCTCCTCAACAATCCTTAGAATTTCAAGCTGAATTTATACAGGTTTCAAATCTTATACAATAAGTTGTATGATTAGAATACTATAGAAAATAGAGACTTCTGATTATTTTTGGAAAGCTTCTTTTTTAGAATCCAGAAATCTTTTCTCAAACTAACCCAACATCGTTTGCGATCGAATTTTTGAAGGAAATTGCAGTGATGTAACTTCCTTCTTGCTCTTACTCTTTGTTTGCATTACCCTTTGAATTCGTTCAAAACATTGTTGACTTCAAAAGGAATATTTTTTTGTCAGAAACGCCTTCAATGAAAGCAAATTCTGAAATTGTACATTTGTGTCTCGTGAAAGCTTCCTTTTCATGCCGATTTGCGATATTTTCACTCACAATAATGATTCTTTACGATTTTGCAGAAAATATACAAGACCTTTAAATTATATTATTTATTATTTTCTACCGATATGAAGAATGTAATTTTATCATGTTGGCTCTATTCTTGTCTGCCAGGCTTTTTTTTATTGAAATAAAAGTTTAACTCCATTTAAAATATATTATTGCGTCGTTGTTATCTGTAAAAAAGAATAGCACCAACATGTTTTTTTTTTTATAAACACGAATAAACGTGAATTCTCTGTTTTACGATAAGATTAACAGTTTTAGTATGAAATTTTTATTTCTTAAAATTGTTGCAAAATAAAATCTGCTCGTCAAAATATATTTTATTAAATCACGGAAAAAATAGCTAAATTTTAGCTGTGGCGACTAATATATTTTTTAGTTTAATGGAGAATTCTGTAGCTAAAAATATTAGCTTTTGATTAAAATTTAGGTGTGGTAACTAAATTTCATGTGTATTAATATAGGGACAACTAAAATTTGACTATATGATAGCTAATTTTTTCCCGTGAATATATTTAATAAAATCTATAATCTGTATATTTACGAATTTGTATATAATATACAAATAACATAATATATAATATTAATATATATAATATAAATACAATAAATTATAAATATAACATCTTATAATATTATATTATTAATCTTATCATATTATATATTAATAGTATACATATATATATATATATATATATATATATATATATTATACATTATGTTATTTGTATATAATATACAAATAACATAATATATAATATTAATATATATGATATATAAATACAATGTATTATAAATATAACCTCTTATATTATATATTATATATATTAATATTATATATATTAATTTATATATATTAAAATATATTAATATTTAGTTCAAGTACAATAAAGCGTTAGCTGTTATTGTGTTAATAATAAATGCGTCGACGCGCGAGAAGCGATAAATAAAATTCGTCTAGAAGTCGAAAAAGCTATCCTTGTCGCCCGAACTACGTTTCCATTAATCCGGACGATGGAAAGCGCTTTTGCATTTCCTATTGTCTTCCTCCTCTCACATCGCACGCTATCTCCCTCGCTCTTCGCTCGACGCAGTTTCATCCCTCTCTTATTCACCCTCGTATCTCGCGGCGAGGTATTCGGTCGTCCATACAGTTTCTCCATTATCCTAATAAATACACGATGCCGAATACACCGTGATCATAATAACGTCTCCCTAATGACGTTGCGAGATAGACTCATAGAGCGTATCGAGAATAATTCCTTTCATCTCCATAGGGAAATCCCGTCTTCGCGTGTCTCGCATTGCGTCTTTGAGATTTTTATACTGACAGAGTAGTTTTATTACAAACAGAATTTTAGAGATTTTGATTTTTGACAAATGTTTTTGACGATTAAATTGCAAACAACAGATATATGCGAATGTTTTTATTTCATTAGAATTAATTTGAATCATAATGCTTTTCGATAGAGCTTGACAGTTGAAAAATTTGTGTTACATTTGACAGATGTCTCACATGTCCGAAACAGTCCACAGAAAGTTTTGTATTAATTTAACATAATATGGATATGTTAAATAATACGCAAACTTCAAGTAATTTAAAATAAATTTTGTGTAAAATTAATATAGCTTTTTAATGTAAAAATTAACTAAAAAAGTATGGTAATTTTAGATTTTATTGTCTCTATTTGTATTTATTATAAAATAAAATAAACATTTTTTTCTGTAAATTTTAATAGGTAAATCTTGTCATTAATAATGTTATATTTACATCTTTTTCAGTTTTATAATCATTTAACATTTAAGTTTAATTAACACAACAGCAATATGTTAAATTAATACATTGCTGTTAATTTATGTGTTAAATATTTAACACAAAAATTTTAACGGGGACCGTTTTTAACAAGAAAGCAAAGTTTTCAACTATGTTTCAAATAATAAAACTTATCAGAAAGAAAATGTCAGATATTTCTAACATTAAGGAAACAAAAAATTAAACATTTCTTATTTCGAAATTTTTTAATATGCTTTGAATAACAACACATTAATCACATCAAATTATTAAAAATATTAATTTTATTAAGATTGAATTTATATACATTATCTTTTATAAGTATTTATTATGTAGTATATGAATCAAAATGGAAAAAGAATTTACTACTCTTTACGTGTATCTTTCATAAAAATACCGTTTCCATTTTATCCACAATTGTTCTTTCAACATCCTAATATCAGAATGTTTGCGTAGTCGTATAAAACAGTTGTTAATGCAAATAACTTGGACGATTAAGCATGGTAAATCTTCGAACATTACAAAAGTTCTTGTCATAAAGGTTTCTCTTTGGAGTCCCGCCAATTTTCCGCCGGGAAATACTCGCACGAGAGTGAGAGAGAGAGAGAGAGAGAGAGAGAGAGAGAGAGAGAGAGAGAGAGAGCAGAATGAGAGATCGTTAATAGCGTAATAGAATTGTAAAATTTGCCAAAAAGCAGTCGAGATATATTCCACGCAAAAGTGTAACGATATGTTATCTCATCGATCTTATACAAGGGGATCACGCAATCTCCCTGTCAGAGGATGACGAGAGAGAAAAAAATTCGACCACTCATGGGAAAAAACATTAACGTTCTTACATCGAATCACGTGCTTAATAAACATTGTTTTTTCACCTCTGTAAAGTTGACACTTCAGCTTTCAAAAAAAATAATTTTTTTTTTAAGTTCTGAGAGTGCACCCCGAAGAGATCTATAGAGTTCCTTATTAATTTTAAAAATAGTTTTGGCGAATTAAGTAAAATAAGATTACTGAATTTTGGGAGTGCTAACTTATGAAGTTGGCAGCTCATCTTTTAACAAACTAATTTTTTTTTTTTTTTTTTTTTTAAGTTATGAGAATGCACCCCGAAGAGTTCTAGAGTTCCTCATTTTAAAAATAGTCTTGGCGAATTAAATAAAAAAGAAGAAAGATTGATGAATTTTGGGAGTGCTAACTTCTAAAGTTGGCAGCTCATCTTTTAACAAACTAATTTTTTTTTTAAGTTATGAGAATGCACCCCGAAGAGTTCTAGAGTTCCTCATTTTAAAAATAGTCTTGGCGAATTAAATAAAAAAGAAGAAAGATTAGTGAATTTTGGGGATGCTAACTTCGCAAAATAAAATCTTTAAATCAACGATAACATTATAAAAGCATTAAAAATAATGAACTGTCTCTCTTGCCGGAGTTCTCCCTCCTCGTTTATGTGTCAGCGGGTCACGTGCGTCCCCTTGACAGTGAAAGGGTTCGCATCAGGCGCGCGTGTGTATTAAATCGCCGGGATGCACATTGACCAGCCGGAGAAGTCAACCCTAAGCCAGATCAGAGGCGGTTGGTCCTCCGTCCTCAAAGATTAACAGGAACCTGACCCGACCCGAGTCTCGCATCCTTGTCTATAGTCTTCCGATCGGCGTCGGGACCAGAACCGAAGGGGAGACGGCGCGTCGCGGCGGAGAATTTAGAGAGAAAAAGGGCGAGACACACAAACACACACACACCCACAAATATACACTCGACGGGGGGTTGCGCGCCGCGACGCGCCGCGCCGCCGTGCGAGTGGAAGGAGGGATGGTGTTTCTTCTTTCGGAGGGGTAGTCAGCGCCGCCACCGCGGCACCACGCAGGGTGAGTCCTCAGTCGCCACTCGGTCACCCCGCCGATACGGGTGGGTTCCGCGCCGAGGAGCCGATCTGTCTCTATTTCCCTGTCGCGAAATCGCGTGATCGTCGCGCGCGCGGGCTTCGAAGAGGGTGCAGGAAAAAAAAGACACTGTCCGCGACACCGTTCTGTGCGTCTTCTCCTTTCGGGATATTGGGGTACCATAAATAAGGAAAAGGATCTCTCTGTGCGGAATCCGCGAGTGCCGCAACCGGTCAGCGCGCGCGTGCACCAGGCAACGACTCGATCGATCGACTCGTGCTCGGGATACAATAGGATCCAGATAGAGAGAGAGACGATGGACGGAACCACCATCCTCCTGCTGCGGGACGACAGATAAAAAGGGGGATATAACGAAGCGGGACTTCGCTTATTTCGCACCGGTACGAGAAGATATAGAAGCGATTTCCGCGATCGCTGCTGCGTGCTGGTTTAATTTTTAGTTAGCAATGTATGAAAGCGGATTATGTAGCGATCGCGCCGCGTGACGCGACCTAGTCCGGAATGATCGCGGTTCTTAGCCGCGTTGCTCTTGTGATACCTGCTCGAAAATTTATCGCGCAATCCTCTCATCTCCGGGACGGTAGGCGCAAACGATCCTCGGAGGTTCCATTCAAAATTTCTAATCGACGGACTACACTCTCCATTTTTTTTTTTTATAACGATACACGGAGAGAATTTTCTCCTGGAATTTAATCTGAAAATCGTGGGACAATTAGGTATTGGAAGAATTTTATACAAGAGCTTCTTCTGATTAAAATATTTACCACAAGAAATAATGTTAATATATAACACAATTGGAAATTTGTATTTTTGTGTTAACTGGTATCGTGGAGTCAAAAATGACCCAAGAGATGTAAAAAATTATGTTAATTTTCTTATTGTGATTTTAGAAAAGTTATGTAATTGTTAACGACATTAATAAATGACTGATATAATTGAGTGATGTCTTTGGAAGAGTGTATTGTTTCATTTAATCAAATAAATAACTATAAAAATATAATACCTCACTAATGAGAAAGTATTTTATGTTAGGGTCTCAAATGACCCCATGATACCAGTTAAGTCAGTGAATTTGACGATAGCAGTTAAGGGTTAAATACTTAACACATTTATATGTGTTAATTTAACATATTGCTACTGTGTTAATTGAACTTAAATGTTAAATTATTGATGTAAAAATTACACAATGTGCATCTATTTTTAATTATACACAATAAGTGTGTTCTCTTTTATTGGTTACAAGATTTCTGTGTTAAAATTTACAGAAAATAATGTTGATTTTTTATTTTATAATATAAGTGGAGGTGATGAAATCTAAAATCAAGATTTTTTAGTTAATTTTTACATTAAAACAGTATTAATTTTACATAAAATTTATTTTAAATTACTTGAAGTTTACAATTTATGTTGTCTTAAAATATCAACACAGTTTTCGTATTCCCATTTCACATATCCATATTATGTTAAATTAATACAAAATATCTGTTTGTGACATTTGTTAAAATTAACACAAATTTTTCAACTGTGTACATACATAGTAGAATCAATCGAACATATTTTCTTATTGTGCTAATATTAATATTTTTATTGTGGTAAATATTAATCAGAGAAATTATGATATACAATATATATAAATTTTATATAATTAATATACATGAAATAAAAGTGTATCGTTATAAAAATAACCGAGTAGTCTGTCGATTGGAATAGATATAATATAGAAATATGTGTGTATCAGAGAAAACTGGAGAAGCAGGAGAGGGCAGATGAATTCTTAATTGTGATCTCTTGAGAGACGACGAAGAGGGAGATATATATAGAATGTATGTGCACCGAGGATCCATACGCTTCCTAGAGCTTTTCTCGATTGCAAGTGAATCGTAGAATATGATACGATACTAACATATATATATATATATATATTTTTCTCATTTACGAGAAATGAAGGCATAGTGTGCCGGGTAAGATAACGAAGTTAGAATACGTTGTGCCAGGATAAGGAATCGTGTATATTCAAGAATTGTATCGACCAAAGTTTGTTAAATTATTCATGATACGGATATATGTGTTTAACACATTTGTCAGAGCATATACATATAAAGTTCGGCGCAAAACACGTCGAAAAGCGACGGTGAAATTTACACGGTCGCGAACGATCATTAATCGTTCGATGATCTCTGCCTATACTCGAAATTATGATCGGGATAATGATCGTGCCATGTGTTGCCCGATGAACTTTAGCATCCCCGTGTCGAGTTATAAATTCCATTAGTAGTGAGTAAAACAACGGAGCGTGTATCAGCTCACGAGCAATTAATAACCCGATAAAGAAGCCGAAGAAAGCATCAATCAATTTCTATTTTTTTTTATCACGCATTTCCTTTTTCTCGTGAAAAATCACGCGATGATTGCTCGGTGTTTCAACGACTAGCTTGGATTTTTTGTTAAGTGTACGTGCGATGTATTCGATGCGTTTAAATTGTCAAACGCGTTCGATTTTGCGACGGCTTGCATTCGAGGATTTTATGGCGACGATAAAAGAGGAGCACAAGGAGTTATCGAAGTTTGTCAGCCGTAGGCAACGATTGAATCGCCTCGGTTTTATCTTGTGGCAACCTGACAGCATATCAGATGTGACAGAGCTGCAGTTCTTATAAAGTTGCATCGTCTTACGAGAGTAACTACACGTTGTTAATCTCTCAAAGCTTCCTTTTAGACATAAAGAGCGCTCAACTATTTTATATACGTGTGTGCATCTTACAGCAATAAATTTTCCTCAAATTTCTTTTGGTGCTACATCAAAAAATTTGAGAAAAATTTGAAGCTTATTGTACACAACACATAAATTCTTCTAAAATGTTTATGATACCAAGAAATTAAGTAAATTGAGATTTATTTAATTTCTTGATATTTTTATTAATTTCTTCTTTGATGAATCTCAAATGAAAATTTAAGAAAAACTTATTGCTGCAAGACAATTTGTGGCCTGTGCACAACGAACTTTAGTATCAATTTTTCTCAAATTTTTTTGTAAGAGATATCTAGAATAAATAAATCTCGAATTAAAATTTATTTAATTTTTCCGTATCATACAAAAAATTTATGTTAAAATCCATATGCACAGGGCATACATTTTTCTCAAATTTTCTTGCAGTAATAATTTTTTCTCAAATTTTCTCTGCCCACGTTGAAGTTTAAATATACATTTCATGTTGAGAGCTTAAAGTCTTAATTAATCAATTTTTTATTTTGCTCGTTGATTTTTTTTAAACGCGCGATTTTAAGTACTTATTTCCGTGCTTATCGAAGTAATTAGCACAAATTCATTATGATTGGGCAGGCAAAACAGTTTCGTTTGTATATATCGCTCGTTAATTAATTGATTTCACCTTGATAGGGCGTTTTAAGCTCGAAAGTAATTACAAAATCGTTATTTCGCGACGCGAACTGTCATAATCGGTACGTGTTCGTAATATACATATATTGTCAGTGGATTTCGACACGGTAATTAAATCGAGACATATGTAACGGGAATTATAACGACCGAGGTTGTTGTTGCGTGCAATCGGCCACCGATGCAGAAAGCCACAACGGTATTCCCGCCCTTGCTTATTATCGAGGATGAACGACTTGCATAGGGTGTCTAGCGGTCAGGGAAATCTGGAAAACCGGGTATTGACAGAAAATTTTATAAATCTCGAATTATCAGGGAAAAGTCGGGAAATACTATTTATCTGGATTTTTTCACATTATTCCACATCTGTCTCAATAATTTGAAATTTTTTATTCAATAAATAGGTATAACTTTTCCTTGACTCCCAGTATGTTAATTTTCTATGTTGTTAAAAATCGATTCATCTACAGCGTGTTTGTTAATTTATATTTTCGTCGTCGTGTTATTTTATTTCAATGTATTATATATTTCAAAATATATTATAACATTGCTCGAGAATTATAATATTGTTCAAGAACTTTATTTTAATTCATTTTTTAATTAAAAATTAATACACTAATTTTATTAAAAATGTTTTATTTAAAAGTTTTGTTGTGATATATTAGATACCATTAAATATATTAAAAATAAAACTTGATATAATATAAATAAAAAGGTGATCATTTAAATAATTTATATAGTGACACGTTTGTTTCGATTATCGTACATAATGCAGATTGTAATTGATTTAAGTGTTTGTTTTTTTAACTTTCGAACTTTTTCATTGTTAACAAAAATATCTCAAGGATTTCATGATTTAACATTTAATTGATTTATCATATAGATATAGGCAAATTATATAATTGAAAAAAATAATACTAAAAAGTCAGTGAAAACATTAATTTCTAATCTTGGAAAATTTGAAAAGGTCAGGGAATTTTTTCATTGAGTCTGCTGGACACCCTGGACTTGGTAGGGAGAGAGAGAGAGAGATCCGAACGTATCATAGTCGATTACACCTGAATAGTCTTTCAATCTCTTGCCCTCAAGAAGATGGAGAGACGCGGAAGTCGACTCGCCAAGTTTCATCAATTAAGGCTACTAGGTTGAACCTCGATAGCTTAACATTCTCGTAATCGATCAGCTGCGGTTCGTGCTTCATTGAGGCTTACAAGTACATGACGGTCGTTAACAGACCGAGCTATTTATCACGTGTCTTTGATTCTGTCTATATTGTACATCGAGTTCTTTTCTTGACATTAGGAATAAAAAATTGCACCGAAAAATTTTATCTTTATATAACATCTTCCTCTAAAGGCATCAAAAGGATCCTCTTATATAATTTAAGAGCTATATAAAATTTTCTAAAGAGGTATTTTTATTAGATATTTGTAACATGAAAAAATATATATACTCATAGGGATGTTTTTTATTAGTGTATTATTTGAAATGATTAAAAAACAGTCTTAACAAATGGACATTTGTTATTTATTACACATGTGTATATTTAAATGTTACACATGTAATTAAATATTTTTTTATGTATTGACATAGTTAAATACACATATCTTTGCTTATATTATTATTTTTAATATTAATTGATAAACTTATAAATTTAAATAATTTAAATAATTTTTAAATTATTAATCCTTATTCATTAAGAATATTTATTAAGAAGACTTATAAAAAAATATGCATTTTAAGAAAAGATTTTTTCGGTGCAATTGCGGATAATTTTTTCTCTCGGCGAGAGGGTGACTTCTCGAAAATAGGTGACGTAACAAACTTTATTATCGTACACGTGAGGAGGAAATTGCATAAAGTTTGCGACATGTATTGAACTTGTAAATAGAGACAATCGGAACTTTGTACAAATTGCAAATAGAATTTCCTCATTTATTCTACGACGTGCAAAACGCTTCCGATTCCGCTTTTGTTATTTCCACC